GATATATAAAAGAGTATATTCAATATATGTATAATTTAAAGATTGGTTGAAAAACCACCCATGACCCCCTAACTCTGCTTATGAATTAGAACATCACCAGATGATCTCAAGTCTCCTAACCTGACCCTTCCAGATTACCTCCCTCCCTTCTCTATGCTATTCTGAATTTTAGGTTATTCATTCTCTTATTTTGCTTTTATAAATGTACTCTATACATCAACAAGTAATGTATGCTTAGTTTTTTCCTACCTTTGACTTTCATACAAATGGAATCATACTCTATTTGTGTATCTCACTTTCCCCCTACCAACATGATGTTTTTGAGGTTCTTCACATTGATCCATACAGCCATAGGTCTTCATTTTTGCTTCTGTGTAATTAATTTTCTATCATATGAACATGTCACATTTTATGTATCCATTCTCCTGTTGACACTGGGGTTGTTTCTAGGTTTTTGCTATTACAAAGTTACTATGGCTTCTTGAATACTTCTCATAGGGGTGTATGTAAAAGAGGCCCTAAGTGTAGGTACAAACCTAGGTGTAGAAACCGGGCACAAGCTTGTGCCATAGAGTTTGCACAAGTTCAGCTTTTCTAGGAAATTGTGGCTTGTTTGCTGAAGGGGTTGCTCCATTCACACCAATAATTTATGAGGGTCCCCAGTGCTTCACGGCCTTTTTTCTTTCTTTTCCTTTTTTCTTAAACTCTTAAAAATGGAAGCATAACACAAATTCAGAAAAGCCAACAAAACATAGATGTCAAGCTCAATGAATTATTACAAAGCGAGTATGTATGTAACCACCACCCAGGTCAAAGTGAGAATTTGTGACACCTCAGAAGCCCTTGTTATGCCCCTTCCCAATATTTATCTTCTCCCTTCCCCCCACCAAAGGTAATCACATCTCTGACTTTAAATACTTTAGTTTTGTTTTGCTCATTTAAAAAAGCCATATAAATGGAATTCATTCAATGTGTATTCATTTATATCTGGCTTGTTTTGTTCAGTTTTAGTTTTGTAATAGTCGCCCATCTTGTTGTGTGTGGCTTGAATTCATTTATTTTCACAGCTGTATAGTGTTCCATTGTGTATCCATTCTACTGTTAGTAGACATTTGTTTCCTGTTTTTTTGCTGTTACAAATGGCACTACTGTGAAAATTCTATGTATTTCTTGATGCAGCAGGCACTCATCCCTGTTGTATGTATAACTATGAATGGAATTGCTGTGTTATAGGGTAAACATGTTTAACTTCAGGAGATAACGTCAGTTTTCCAGATAGTTCTACTGAATTAGTCTTCTACCAACAGTATATGAGAGTTGCTTTTGCTGCACATGCTCATGAGTGCTTGGTATTTTTTAAAATTTTGGCTGTCAGATGAATGTGTAAGTGACTTCTTAGAGTTTTTCATTTTCCTGATTTTAGAGAGGTTAAGCACATTGTCATGTGGTTGTTGGCTATTTGGATATCTTATTTTGTGAAGTGTCTATTCAAGTCTTTTGCCATGTTTCCTTCTGAGTTATCTTTAAAAATTATTTTATTGTTGTTTATTGATTTATTGGAGGTTTTTAAAAAAATATTCTACATAGGAGTTCTTTTTTTTTTTTTGCGGTATGCGGGCCTCTCACTGCTGTGGCCTCTTCCACTGTGGAGCACAGGCTCTGGACGCGCAGGCTCAGTGGCCATGGCTCATGGGCCCAGTCGCTCCGCGGCATGTGGGATCTTCCCGGACCGGGGCACGAACCCGCGTCCCCTGCATCGGCAGGCGGACTCTCAACCACTGCGCCACCAGGGAAGCCCAGGAGTCCTTATTTGATTGTACATGTTGCCAAAATCTTTTCCCAGACAGGGACTTGCCTTTTCACGCCTGGATGATAGCTCCTGGTGAGCAGAGGTCTCTGAGTTTAATGGTGTGTCCTCTGGAGCTGTGTAGCATGGCACCCTGCTGCCATCTGGGGTTGAGTGTTTGCAATTAGATGCTCATCAGATTTACAAAGGACAGGGAAGTGGTCAGAAAGAGACCACCTAGGCAAGCAAAAAGTCCTGACTTTCCAATAGGAACTTCCAAACTATAGCCTTTCAAAATTAACTTGTTCCCAGACTGAATGGAAAAGAAGGGTGTGCTGTAAAACCAAAGTCGAATTTCAAGAATAAACAGTCTGTAGCTGTTTCGACAAAGAGGTTGACGGTTTGCCACAAAGGGGAACGGCCAGCTCTCTAGAGGCGGAGCGAGGGCCTTTCATGTGAAGCGGCAGGATTATCCTGGAGCAGAGCTGGTGGCCTGTGGCCTGGGACGTGCTGGGCTGCTTTAGCTCTAGTCCTGTTTCTCTTTGGCCTCAATCTGGGTCATTAGGCTGAAGTTTTGCCTTGAGGGCCACCAGAGTGGGGCACTGCTTAGCAACGTGCTGGACAGCTCAGCTTTGCGCTTTGTCCCCAGCCAGGGGGGTGAGGGAGTGTATGAACGAGTGAGTGAGAGAGAAAAGAGAGAGTGTGTATGTGGGGGCAGGAAGCCCCCAATATTCAGATTCAATAATTATCTTTATTTGCTGGTGAAAGGTAAGCTTTTACTTCAGGAACTTATGAGAGAGCTATGAAGGGAGAAATAACCTGTATGTATTGCAAAAACTTGCAGAAAGTCCCCTTTCCCTTCCCCATCAAAATACTTGGTGATTTTCTTGAATCTCTTGTTCCTTTATCAAAAAGAGAAACAATTATAGTGACTACAGCTTCAAAAAAAAAAAAAGAATCAAAGAAATGGTCAAAGAAAGGTAGGATTTGTTAGATTGAAAGGGTCGTAAAGTGCTGATCGGGGTGAATAAATAAGGAGGCTCCCTTTATGTATGTCCCAGTGAAACTTCAGAACATCAAAACTAAAGAGGAAATTCGGAAAGCTTTAGAAAGACCTTACTTTCCTAAAGAAGGTGTTTAAGTTAATCCCTCAGTAATACATTGTGTAAAGGATGGATTTAAAAATTACCTCTTCTATTAAAAGAAAAAGGTAGCATGTGTGGCTCCCTTCCCTTCCCTCTCCAAGTCCCTGTGGATGATAGAAAATGTATTAGAAAGCAGATGCAAGAAAGAATACCATCTTTGGATCAGAAGTCCTGCGGTATCTCTGGAAGATAGGAAATAGATGGAAGGAATCCAGGTCAAAGACATATAGAATAGGAATGGTTCTGGGTGCTTCAGGCAACAGATAACAGGGCAGCCATCATGGTGGTTGGGCAACTGCATCTGAAATAGTTGGGCAGCTTTGACCTCTTCCTCTGGTTCCCTTATGCTGAGTCATGGGCAGCAGCAGGCTTGAGCTGGAGGTACCTTATGTGGACAATGTCCAGAAGGAACTACAACCTTCAGCCTGAAATCAAGTTACTAACTCACACTCTTCCCATGTGGCCTGTCTTGCCCTTCCCTACAACCCCTGGAGGCCACTGTATTAAACAAGTAACATAAAATACAAAGATGAGCATCCAACCATGAATCACCAAACACTTTAGGAAACATCAATTCATTGAATAAGACTCTCTGATTCAGCAAACCACAGGGCCGTCACCAAGAAAACAGCATTAATGGAGTAACAGGGATTGGACTTTAAAAGAAACAAAGTGGATATCCTCAGAGGAGTAAGAAGAGTTTATTCCATAAAATAAGAACAGGCATCTGTTTCAAGAGCCAAATAGACATTACATTAGAAATGAAATATTTAGTTGATATTTTAAAACAACTCATCAATGGGATGGAAAGCAGGATTCACACAGCTGGAGAAGAAATTAATGAGCTGGAGGTTTGAATAAAGAAATAATTCAGAATGTAATACAAAAAGCCTTAGATTTAAGAGAATGAAACAAAGGTTAAAAAGACATGGAGGATAGACCTAGGAGTTCCAAAATCCATTTGCTAGGGTCTCTCAAAGGAGAGAAGAGAGAGAGAGTGGTTGAGGTGAAGAAGAGGCCGGGAAGGGAAGAAAAGAATCAAAGAAATGGTCAGAAATGAGTTGTTGGATTACAAGGGTCCCCATAGTGCTGATCTTGATGAATAAATGAAGATGCTCCTTAGACATATTAGAGTGAACATTCAGGGTAAAGAGAAGATCTTGAAAGGCTTTACAGAGAAGGAAGATGGGATACTGTTTTCATTAGAGGCATGAGGACTCTTCGCTGTCTTGAGGGGGTGGGGAGGGAGTCCATCTTTGAGGAGAGGCTTGGGTGGAAATAGAGTTAATATTGCAATATAGTTTTACATTGTGAACATAAGACTGCATTCCTGTTGTTAGCAAACTCTTCTTGGTTGTTCAGGTTACATATTATCCTTGGAGAATGGTGCGGATTCTCTAAGATAACGTGTGAAATATTGTTAGTCAAAGCAGAGTCTTTGAAATGCTGCACAACCCTCGTTTGGAAGTTAGCCCTGAAAGGGCTTCATAGCTATCTGTATTTGCAGCCCCCTTTTTCTGCCTGGGGCCAATACCTTGTTTACCACCCTGGAGGACACAGCTAGGACTAGAAGTGGCTGAGATTTCCTTTCCAAATCCAGGGCTTTCCAGTGGAATGGTTGACAGCTCTTCTTACCTGGATGGCTCTGTTTAGGCTGTTAATGGGGTAACAGGCTTGCCCACTTCCTACCCTGAGCAAAAAGAAATGCCATTTATCCTGGATAATCTTTTAAAGTAAGTAGGAAAGAACAGATGCTGAGTTTTAGTTCATATTAAGATTGAATTTGCGAGGGCCCCTGCTTATTGGTAACTTGATAACCTTGATTAACTGTCCGGGTCACTGGAGTCCTCACAGTACGTGTGGGTTTATAATGGAACAGTTAGCCCTGGAACATGGGCTCAGATTTCTTAGCAAAGGGCTCCTCGTGGAGAGGAATAATGACCAGTCTTACTATTTATGGGATTTCTCTCTTTATTTAGTTAAGAATAGCACATTTTATTGAATGAAAGAACTCCATGTTTCTATTGTTTTTCATATTAACTCCCTAAACTTCTCTTGTGTGATTTTAGAGGCCAGAGCCCACCAGTTGCTGAATTTAACTTACTCCTGAAAGCTCACACTTTGGAAACCTATGGGGTGGATCCCCACCCATGCAAGGTAATGCCCCTCACTGCAGGTCGACATATAATGATTGTTTTGCCCAGAAAAGAGTTAATTGGTATGCAGGTCTGGAGGATCCCTTCTAGGATATATCCACAGCCTGACCCATCACCCCTAATCATAAGGGACAACAGTGGGCTGCAGTCACATGTTTGGGTCGTAGATTTTCTCTATTGGCCTCTTCTAATTGCTTGCTAATTCATTCATCCATCAAGTGGATGGTTTTACTCCTGAGAAGTTATAGGATCCTAACAGGTTTATTTTCAAAGGCCATTGCCAGTAAGAATGCAGTCTTTAAAAATGGGTAAGTGGAAGGAAAAAAGAAGGATTTAAAATTCACATTAGGAGTACGTATTTGTTTTTCTTTTTTCCTTTTTCTCGAATTAATACTTGACAGCATTTCTCTCAAGTAGGAAACCCAGACCACCTGTGTCAGAATCACCTGGGCCCCACCCCAGGGCCACTGAATCAGAATCACTGGGGGTGCAGCTGGGGAATCTGCCTTTTAAACAAGCTCCCAAAGTGAGGCTCAAGCGCATGTTTTCCAGAAATGTTTTATGAAAATAGGGTTCTTTCCATATCCTAAACCATGCATCAGTCAGACTCTAACCTGAATTCTAAACTAAGCGTTTATATCAGCCAGGCTCTTAAAGGTATGTTTTTGAGTCATACTAGAACATTGTTTTACCCAGATGGGACCAGCTAATAGTATTTGGTGAAGTCCTCAGATGGGACCAGCTAATAGTATTTGGTGAAGTCCTCGTGCTAGAGATGTAGCTTAGGCTGCTTATTAGAAGGACCTGGGAAGCTTCATAAACGCCTGTTGCCCAGTGCCACCAGGATCTGTGAGGGTGCAGCCCGGGCAGAGAACCAGTGGGGCCTATTTACAGTGGCTGGCTCTGCCCGCACAGTTATTTTAGAATATTTGCCAGATGTCTCTTCCTGCGAATGGTATAAATCAGATTATTCCATTTAGTGAATTAGATTTTATCCACAAATTTGAGCCTCTCTGTTTTATTTATTACTTGGAGACTGACTTGGTTTTTTTTGTTGTTGTTGTTCCTTTGCCTTCCCTTATCAATGCTTAGTTTTCCTGGTGGAGGCTGGAATCAAAGTGGGCATTTCCAGACATGTCTTTATATTTACATTGCCAGAAATCCTGTGTGGGATTGAGTCAAGTTAGATTAGACGCTCAGGGATTTGGTTTCAGGGCTAATGAAAGCCAAGAACAGTTTTCCCACATTGTAGGGCAGACCTGAGAACTCAGGCAGCACCAGAACGCACTTGGAAGTAGACTAGTGGTTTGGGACTAATCTGTATTTTCCCAGGAGGTTCCTGGTGAGGCAGAAGGTCCATTCCTCAGACGGGAAAGCTATACATTCCTGGCCCTCGCCCAAGTTTTAGGCGTACTACGGTTGGAAGTCCCATCTCAGAAGCTTAGTTTATTTCTACAGTCATTGTAATTAACCTGAAATTAACCCAGGGTGAGGATGAACTAGCATGTCATTTATCCTTTATTTTATATTCCTTAATCCAAATATGTTTTTATGTCTTATTATTGTTTTCAGGATTCAACGGGCACGACAACATTTTTAGGATTCACTGCTGCAGGCTTTGTGGTATTTCAGGGAAATAAGAGAATCCATCTGATAAAATGGTGAGTAGTGAGTACTTCTTCGGAAGAAATTGTTTAATCTTGTTTTTTTTATTAATCTCGTTTTTCTTTCCCAGCCTTTGACTTTTTGCTTGGAAAAAGTCTGCCCTGGAACTTCTTATAAAGAGATTATTCATCTAAAAATGGAACCCAATCTCAGTTGTCTTAGACCTTGGGTGTCCCGGGCTCGGGGGGCTCTGCCTTTGAAGAAAAGGTGTCCAGCATGGCTGGTGAGGAAACACTGGCCAGAGGGGTGACCACGGGCTAGGTCAGGGCAGGATAAATGTGCAAGTTCCCTTGAATAACTCAGGACCCCCTCTCTTCCACTCACTTCTTTCCATTCTCTTCTGTTGAATCCTCGCTCTAGACTCCCCCTTTGTAATCCAGTGTATCAGTGACGATGCTTTTCGCTCAAAGGAACAGGAATGTCTGCTCACAGTGGCTTACAAATGAGAGGACTGATTATCTCAAACAGCAAAAGTTCCAGGGGCCGGGCAGCCCCATGGTCCTCTAACTTAACTGCCTGACAACACTGTGAAGGACTTGCACCCCTCCATTCTCTTCTCTGCCATCCCAGGGTGGTGGGTTTTATCCCCAGGCTTGTGCTCATAAAATGGCCATGCGCACAACTCTGGCCCTTACATCTTCACACAGAAACACTCCCTGAAGGAGAGCAGCCCCTTCCATGTGTCTCCTATTAAAACAAGGGTAACTTTTTCAGAAGCTCTGTAGGAGACTTCCTGTGTATCTCATTGGGTAGGAGAGGGTTGTATGCGCCCCCTTAAACTAATCCTTCCAAGAAGAAGAATTCCATGATGAGGTTGATCAAATCAAGGTCCATCCTTTCGGGGCTGGGAAGAGCATTATCTGCATGAACAGTTGATCTAGAGGAAGAATAAAGTCTGGGTTGTGTCCGGGAGGACATGGGAGGATGGACCGGCAGTGCCCACTATGTCCAATCAAGGAACAAAGTAGCTTTAGTAGAGTGAAGAAGGCTGAACATTCTATGTGCATTGGAATATTGTAAGGGCTTAGTCTGGTTCATAGCTTCAGCATGATTTGGTTCCTTCCCTGATGGTCCCTGACAGATTTGTCACCCAGTGTCTCACTGAGTGATGGGCTCACTCTTTTGGCCTGAGCCCTTGGGTCTGAAGTTCTTGATGGGCCAGTGGGCATCCATCCTCAGTCCTGGGTTTGAAATGCTCTTTTGCACTTACCTGAACCTCTGTTTCATGGTTCTGTTAGCTTCAGGATTTCTCTCAGCACTCTTTATCAAGTCCCCCGCTGCACCGCGTCTTGGCACTCTCCTATTAGCACCTGCCTTCCCTTCAACCCTTCTCTACTAGATTAGCATCAGTCAGCTCATGTCCACTTTGCTCCCTACACCTTCTGCTCTTTTTTCTCATCAGCCCTCTCTTTCTAAGAATGCTAATTTATCTAAGTATCTTCTCTTCCCACTCTATCACTGCCTTTATTCATGTCATACTTTCGGTTCCCATCTGTGCCCACTTATTCTCTTCCTCCACAATTATCATTCTCAAACTCTCATGTGCCTCTAATAAATCACTTAACTCTCTGTGTCTCAATGTACTCATCCATAAAATGGACATCAGTTATATCCGACTGCTTTATAGGAAAGAAAGGAGATGGGGGAGAAGCAGGTAGAATAGTGTGTGTGAGAGTGACTTGATTTGTGAACAAGGATGTTTTATGAATGTATAACGTGGTGGAGTTACCAGTTTTCTTCCCCTTATTTTCAGTACCTGTAAAGAAGCTCCAATGTTAACCACACTTCAGTCCATTCCAGAATAAGTTCCCTAGCGATTTCTGCTGACTTTGGGGAGCATGGGCAATTCGGGCAGGAACTTCCCCATCCTCTCCTAGGACTACAAAAGCCTTGAGGATGCTGAAGGGTGTTTGATTCTCAGGTACTAGTCAACTTTGGAGTAGCTGGGTTAGAACCTGACATGTCTCACATGCAGATTAATTGCAAGTCTCTCCCATTTGGGGCTTTAGTTTCTTCTTGGCTACCCTGAAGAGTTGAGATGGGCAATCACCAGACCATTTGTTCCTGGATTCTACATCTTGGTGTTCCCGGTGGGGTGCTGATGTCATCCCCATCCCTTCCAGCCACGGCTTAGGCACATATTTGTAGCAGCCACGTACATGTTACTAAAATAAATTTTCTTCCCACGTTAAACCTAGTTTTGTTCTGTTTTGTTTTTGACATCCATTGAGCTTTGTCACTCTTGCAAATCCTCTCCACAGCTTAATATGACCTCACAACTCCTTTTCCCCCAGGAAAAGCACAGGGGCACACCTCACTGTCCTAGGAATTAGATCAAAGGAATAAAAGTAGAATTCCCTCCTCTCTTTACACGTGTCTCCTCACCAAGGAGTTGACCTTAGGTCTACATTTCAGTCAGATTTTAACTGAGCAGCTCCTTAGGATGAAGCCTCAAGTCTTTTGACTACAGTTCATCAAGTTGTCCTTAACAGTTTTGAGCATCTCAGTATCTAATACAATTATTCATTTATCAACAGGGAGAGCAGAAATGAAAATTTTGCATTGTGGTGTGTGTTTCTTGGAGATGGATGTGAAAGGTTACAGATACTGTGAATCCATATTGTTTCATTAACCGAATATGAAATAACTACATTCTTCCTATCTTGCAAAATGTGCTGACCAATTAACATTGTTCTGGTCATTAATGTTCATGAAACCCCTAGAGCTCCTTGGAGAAAAGGTGCAGCTTCACGGTAAAAACAATGGAATAAATAATTCTGAGCTGCCTTCGGAGCCTCTCTTGGGAAGAAAATTGCTGTATCATTCACTTGGGGGCTCTTCGCCGCTCATTAGACCTTCAGCCATGATAAGATAACATCTCGTTTCATTGCAGTCTGCTTGGCATTTGTGAGTCAGGCGGATTCCATTGGGATAGCCAGGTACCTTGGTTAGCTGCTACTTTTTTTCTTCTCACCCAAGGAGATTTTCTTTCCTTAGGTCGGATGTCTGCAAATTGAAGTTTGAAGGGAAGACGTTTTATGTGATTGGCACCCAGAAGGAGGTCAGAAACTGTTTTTCTAGCTGTCTGTTGTTGTATGTGCATGTGTGTGTGTGCAGGTGTGTATGTGCAGGAGAAAGAGTCAAGTGTAAAATGTGCCTTTAGTCATGTAGCCCCCAGAAGACCACGATGTTAAAGTCTGTGATGATACTGGAAGTTTGCAGTTAAATAAACACCGGCTTTGCACATTTAAGAATAAATTCAGTGAGCAGTGCTGTCCATATACCCCTGTGTAAAAATTAGACTGTGATAAACTTGAGAAATAGAAAATTGAACTTCCTCCTACCTCTGTAATTTGCCAGGATGATAAAACAAATGAATAATACTTAAAGATAGCTATCAGCCAGTGCTGGTTAGAGTTTTATAAACAGAGTCTGTAAGTCCAGGGAATCTTAAAATGTTAGTTGGCTTCATCATTTGGGAGGAGGCCATTACCGAAACGCTGAGCCTCAGAGCTAGGTCTGGAAGTTTCTGGATTTTCTTGATCCTAGTTTTTGGTTTAAGCACTAGATATTCAAGAATGGCAAATAAGTTTTTAAACTCATCCAACTCTGATTGAGAGTTAGGCAACGCTTGGAGTGTTGAGAAGGATTGTGAAGCTGTTCTTTATCAGAAACAGGGCCTGGATGGGTTAGTAATATCTGCAAAGGGTGAGGGAGGGGGGAGTACCATTTCAGGAACACTTCTAAGGACACAGTAATGCATCAGTTACTTCAGATCTGTTTGGTAAGTGGCAGGATGCAAATAGGTAAATTCTTGAAGGAAAAACATGAAAAACATACACTGTGTTTAACATGCCCTTTCTTGTTTTGTTGTTTTTTTATTAGAAAAAAGCCATGTTGGCGTTCCATACTTCAACACCAGCTGCCTGCAAACATCTTTGGAAGTGTGGGGTGGAGAACCAGGCCTTTTATAAGTAAGTAGCTTTTATTCATTTAATCATAGGTTTTAAAAGCACCCCTGGAACCCTTTATGTTTTGCAAACAGCTGCATATTCATTTTTTTTAATATAGTCCTTTTCAGTATATTTAAGTGAATTATAAATTTGGTGCATTGTTCAGGGTGACTCCCAACCACTGTTGGCCTGATCAAGTCCTGAACTTTATTTTACGTTGGGTGTTTCCCATAGAGTTGCGGTGGGACTTTTTTTTTTTTCTTTTGATATTGCTATTTCCATCCAGCCTGTCATGGGATCTTTTCTCGGTTCGTGTCTCCTCAGAAGCAGACCTTGAGAAGAGTTTTGTGCAAGTAGTTTCTTTGGGATGTGGTTACTGAACATACCAATAGGGGAGTGGAGGAGGGAGAAATAAGCAATTTAGGACACGTTATTGAGCAGTCACTCCTGACAGCAGCTGGGCTCAGCTCTGCTGGGGAACTCTTGTCAGACTGTAGAACAGGTCTCAAAGTTCTCCCACTGACCAGCAAGGAGGTTGGGCTGTTTATCCACTAATTCCCCATTCATTTTGGCTTAGAGACACTTACGAGGGCAGAGTTAATACTCTCTGAGCATGGGTTGAATGTGCTCTCAACACTAGAAAAGAAACCTTGGGCAGGGAGTCACACATGTTCATAGTAAGAAGGCCTCAGTATATAGAGATGAGAGCCAAAGGTTGGTGGGTGGAATGCCATCAGAGTCTAGGATTGTAGAAAGTCAGTGCTGGACAGGACTTCAGAAACCATCCATAAAGCTCTCAGCTTTCAAAAGAGGTTAAAATTTAGGATTTTTCCATGAGTTCTAGCTTCTCCTCTTTGAGACACTTGCTGACTGGAAGAACAGTAGTGATGGATGCACTCAGGAACCTAGCCAGCCCCGCCTGGAGTATCAGCACCGCTCATCCCTGGAGCTCATCCAGGCGGCTTTTGCTCTATTTCCCAACTCCTTCCCCACTGAAATACTGTCTTTCTTGTTAGACTTACCTGAAAATGCTGAATCTCTGAACGTCCTGGGCTTTGGCTGACAAGGACCATCAAGAGAATGAAGGCTGGAACAGTGTTTTTCAAACCCCTTTTCAGCCACAGAACTCTTTCCCTTAAACAGAAAGTGTAGGCAAAGCCTAATATGTAAAAAAAGATAAAAATAGAGAAGCTGTGTTGTTGGTGGGGACCAGAGCCGGGATTGGGGACTGGAGACCCTTCACTCATTGCTCACTGCTCCCCAGGAGGTTGGGTGACCAGTTGTGTGAGTTTGCCTGGGACTTTCCCAGGTTTAGAATGAGAGTCTGGTGTCCCAGGAAACCCCTACATCCTGGGCAGATCCTGTCAGGGGCATGAGATGATTCACAAAATGCTGTGCTTCTTGGAAGGATGATGCGTATCAATGAGACCTCAAGGCATCTGTGAGTCCCCTGCAGTGTTTGAGAACTGGTACACAAAGAACACCTGATGGCCTCTGAAAAATCAGCATGTCTAGACCTCTCCATCCACATGAGAGTGGGGAAAAGGAAAGGCAGGCAGTCTGGTGCTCTTAGTCTTTACTTGGAGCCTGCACATTTTTTTTGTTTTTGTTTTTAATCATTTAAAAAATTTAGATAGGGCTTCCCTGATGGCGCAGCGTTTGGGACTCCGCCTGCTGATGCAGGGGACACGGGTTCGTGCCCCGTTCCGGGAAGATCCCACGTGCCGCGGAGCGGCTGAGCCTGGGAGCCATGGCCGCTGAGCCTGTGCGTCCGGAGCCTGTGCTCCGCAACGGGAGAGGCCACAACAGTGAGAGGCCCGCGTACAGCCAAAAAATAAAAATAAATAAAACATTTAAAAATTTAGATAATACTCATATACCATAAAATTAACCCTTTAAAGTATGCATTCAGTGGTTTTTAGTATAATTCACAAAGTTATGCATCCATCACCACTATCTAATTACTTAGGACATTGAGTAGTTTTTTTTTTTTGCACACATATTGTTTTATCACGTGTGAGCAAGTCAGTTGGTATATGGAGTCAAATAAAGGTAAAAACAGAATTGAAAAGAGGGGGAAGAAGGGAAAAAAACCCACAATCGAAGGAATCCGTTTTGGACATTTTGGGATACACTCATTATCTGGCAGCTAACAAAGTGGTCTGATAATTCTGTCATTGAATGAGCCAACGAGGCATATCAGAGAAGCCACTTCCAATCATCTGTAGATGCTTCAGAACCCAGGGCGTGTAGCTGTGAGCACAGGTGGCACCCTGTAGAGTTGGCCGAGTCCTGGCATCAACACCTCTGCTTTGGTTGGGACAGGCTACCCCATCTCTCCCATTAGGACTTCTAATCACTAATATTTGTACTGATCTGAGTTTTGCCCAAACCCTGTGTTCCTCCACTGTCCCATAACCATCCCTGTTCCTTAGGAAAGAGGAGAGATATAGCTCGTCCTGACCCAGCTGTGTGACCTTGGACCAGTGGCCGACCTCAGCCTTCTCATATGTAGAATGGAGGGAACTGGGACTCAGGCATGGTTTGCTTGCATCACTGTGGCCTAGTGTTAAGGACCGTGGGCTTTAGAAGCCAAGAGGCTTGGGTTTGAATCTTGACTCTGTCGCTTACTAGCCGTGTGGCCTGGAACAAAACACTGAACACTTCGAGCCTCATATTTATTTTTCATCTGTAAAATGTGATTGCAATCCCTGCCCTGCAGTGTTTAGTTCTGCCAGGCACACGGACCATCAATAAGTGGTAGCTACTGCTATGACTCCGACCACTACCCCTCCACTAACGGTGAAAGTCTTCTGAGTGCCAGCTGGTTGCTGAGCCCAGTCACTTCTGAAGGGCTCTGATCCTGTGAAGCTCAGGAGTGGGATCCTGCTTCCTCTCCTGCTCCGTCCCTTTCCCAGGCAGTGGTTTTGGTCCTGCTTCCAGCTGACCGGCACTGCGCCTTCATGGTTTCGGCTGGCAGAGCAAGGGCCCTGATCTTGTTTTCTGGGTTGGGGGTGGTTTGCTCCCTTCTTTGCACTTCAGCTGCCATGACAACAGGGAGGCCCAGTGGCCAAGAATTCCCTAGTGTGCTTTTAACATATGACTGTGGTGCTAGTTGTCAGCTGGCCCGGGGCCACTGATCAGGTTTGAAAGCCCTGACTCTGAGATTTGCTGCCTGGGAACAGAGCCCAGAAGCAGAAACTCTGATTCTCCCTCCTGCTCCAACCCCCAGAGGATCCCCAACACAGACTTAGATAGTCACCATCTCAGAGCTTCCTCTGTGCCGTGTGTTTTTAGGTGTTACCACCTAAAATGAGCACTGGAACATGCCATTTCTGGGCGCTGATTCCCTGAAAGCACACTGGATTCCCTGAAGGGTTCAGTGGCTCCCTGGTGCTTCCATTTGATGAATCCTTATCTCACACTAGCTTTATGCCATGTCAGTGCTAGGCACTGAGGACACAGTGGAGGCTCAGATGAAACTCTCTGTTCCCAACTTTGTATGGAATTGTGTGCAGGACATAAAGGCAGTCCCTAATAAATTTCTTCTCTGGAGTTAGTGTACATTTTGTCAAAGGAACAGTATTATACTTGGTTGTCAAGGACCCAGAGTATCTCCCTAAACTGACACCTCTCACACTTTAGTGAGCACGTGAATTACCCGGAGATGCTGTTAGAATGTGGATTCTGGTTCAGTAGGTCTGGGTGGGGCCCAAGAGTCCATATTTCTAATAAGCTCCCCAGTGATGCTGAGCTGCAGGCCCATGGACCACATTTGAGTAATAAGGTTCTAAACCAGAGGTTCTCAGCCTGACTGCAAGTTAGAATCAGCTGGGGGAGCTTTTAAACAATACCAACGTGGACCCTACCCCGACCCAATTAAATTGGAATCTGGGTCCTCACAAAAATGTGTACACGAGTGTTCATAGCAGCATTCTTCATAATAGCTAAACCAAATGCCCATCAACTGATAAAAGGATAAAGGAAAGTGGTATATCCATACAATGGAATATTATTCAGCCATAAAAGGAAGGAAGTACCTACTGATTCCTGCTACAACATGGATGAAACTTGAAAACATGATGCTAAGGAGTAGAGGAGATAAGGAGTGGAAGAAGGAAGGGACTGCCAATGGGTACAGGGGGCTTCCTCTTGGGGTGATGAAAATGTTTTTTTGATGAATTTTTAACTTCGTGCATTATACTGAAAACCACTGAAACATAAACCCTAAAAGGGTGAACTTTATGTTATGTGAATTATATTTCAATAAAGCTGTTATTTTAAAAATTCAGAATCTGGGAGGAGGGGACTAGATGTTGGTAGTAATACACCTTTCCCAGGAGGTGTGAACCTGCAACCTAGGGTTCAATGCTCTAATCCAGTGATTTGCAAAGTTAGGGTACCTGGACCAGCTTCAGCATCCCCTGGGAACTTGTTAGAAAGGCAGATTCTTGGGCTCCAGCCCAGACTTACTGAATCAGAACCTTGTGTTTTCAAAAGCCTGCCAGGTGATCCTGATGCTTTCTGAAGTCTAAGAACCTGCATGGCTAAAGCATTATTTTAAAAATACAGACAAGCCTGGGTTTGCAGCCTGGTTCCTCCAGCTTCTATGATGTGACCATTGTTAAGTGACTTCACCGTTCTCTATCTCAATTTCCTCATGAAAAAATGTGGATTGCTTCCTCCTAGGAGAGAGCTGTGAGGATGAAATGAATTAGCGTATTTAAGATGCTTTGGATGGTGAATGGCCCCTAGTAGGGGCTCAGTAATAACATATGTCGTTATTGCTCTGATTACTCCAGAAGCTGTAAACCATGGGAAAAAGGGAAGTTGTATTGTTAGTTCTAGAGGCGGCCTTTAGAGCACCACCCAGTGTGCTGACTTCCATCCCCAGCCCCTGTAGTAGCAGGTACCAGAGGAGAGAAGCTAGAGGCAGGGGTGAGTGGAGGCGTGTTCCTGCAGAGCTGTGCTGTGTGTGCATTGGATGATACTGACACTCAGAGAACACTCTGCCTGTTCCAGGCACTGTCCGCATGTGTGCACACCTCACATACATTACCCCATTTAAAACACACCTTCGACGTCAGGAGTGGGCACAACTCCCTAGTGCCATGGAAGGGTACAGTGGTCTCTGGGTACAGTGGCTCTGCCCTGGCAGTACTGGGGTGGGGGTGGCGGAGAGCTGTGATAGCAGAAAGGAAAGCAGTGATGAAGCCACCATGTGAATACACATGTGTTGCCAAGTCATGTGCTGGTCAACTGGGCGCTGGATTTCTCTGTGAGGTCAGATGTTTGAGAATAGTCAGTGCTTCTGTGCTGGAAGTTTGATGGGGAGTTGGAGGTGGAAGGGGGGAGAGGGCAGGCCTGGAAGAAGGTCGGAGGAGAGAGAATTGCCGTTTTCACTAGGTTGTGCCTTGATCGCCTTCGTTGGGAGGAAGACTTTTGCTCTGGGCTCGTTGATGGGAGAGCCTGGGAACAGAGAGCTGGAACAGGTCAGCTAGAGCTAGAGCATAAAGGCTCTTTTATTGGCCTTCAGAGCATTTGACATGGTTCCCGGGATTGGTCACGGCTTAGAGGATTGGCTTTGGTAGCTCAATAGTGAGAAGGCAATACAGAGGTCTGGAGAGTGATAATGGGGGTGGCGGAAAGGGAGAGAGGGAGGGAAAGTATTATATAATGAGCAGGTAGTACTCTAGGTGTTTTCAAATCATTTAATCTCATTTAACCCTCCTCAAAACACTATGACTTAGGCATTATAATACCCTTACCCTTTAAAAAATTTATAGAGAAACTAAGGCTCAGAGAAGCAACATGACTTGACCAAGGTCACAGGATCAAAAGCAGGGAAGAACCTGGCCCCTTGTTTCTTCAGGTAAAATGCCATCTGGGAGTCATTCAAGGAGAATATGGGGACCCAGAGTTTCTCCAGTGCAAGTAGGCTGCCTTGGAATGACCTTGGAGTGTTTGATAAAAATACAAACTCCCAGACCCCTCTCCAGACCTGCTTTATGAGAATCTGTAGTGATGCAACCTGAGAGCTGGTATTCTTAACCCCTACTCCAGGGGCAGCCGATGCACAGCCAGGTTTGGAAGGACGGCTAGGTGCATGTCCTGTGACCCAGCCACCTTTCTCTTGCCCCCGTGTATTTCCTTCCATCCTACTCTCTGTTTCTCAATTCCCAGGGGGTTTGTGGGGTGCAAGCTCTCAGAATAAATTCCCCTGTTAAAATTCCATTAAATATCTCAGCCCGAACATTGTCGGGCGTCTCCCTGGACATTTGGGAGGGTGTGGGTTTGGTGGTAATGCTCTCGGTAGAGTGTCTATGAGCAAATGAAATCATGCAAATAATCATCAAGGGCACTCAGCTGCCAGGAAGAAGCCAACGCTTTTATCAGTCCTCTCGTCCTGAGCAGACAGCTATTCACTTTCTCTGCACAGCGTGCCTTCTGACCTGTTTTTCTTGAGCCACTCTGGGTTTGTGTGGTTGCGGTGGAGCACTGAGGCCACCCGCCAAGGGGCTGTTCTGGGTGTAAGGAGAAGAGAGTGGCCTCCACACGGGACTTGGAAGGGCAGGAGCTGAGGCTGAACGGGTGAGAGATAGAGCCACCCACTGCTCCCCAGAAGAGCCCCCCTGTCACCGGAATTGCTTTGCTGTCCACACCCCTTTGAGCTTCTGGCATCTTCCATAAAATGGGCACAGAGTTGAGTCTGAATTTCAAAAACTGTAATTAAGACTCTTCCGGTGTGGTGAATTGGGAGATTGGGATTGACATGTATACACTGATGTGTATAAAATGGATGACTAATAAGAAAAAAAATAAGAAAGACAAAAACAAACAAACAAAAAGACTCTTAGTAATCTTTTTAGCAGACTTCCTTGCCCCGAGGATCCTTAGGAACCTAGAACAATAACAGCAAAGCAATAAAAAAAGCAGAGGCTGCTTTAGAATGTTTCTCCGCCCTCCATCTCTGAGTATGTGGGAGCAACAACCCTGCTGAGAAGATGGGGAGAGGCATCCGGTGACGGAAAATGTGTCAGGCCCATGGCTCTCTAGGGCTAAGGTTGGAGGTGCGGGGAGCAGACAGGCCCAGAGCAGGCACATCCTCAGAGGACGAGGCACAGTGGATGCTGCCCCACATTAGCCAGGCTTGCTGGGCCATTTTCTCCTCTTCACTGGGTATGGTCTGTAACCTGGCTTTGGCCAGCAGCCTGTCCTAGGCGTCCAGACCCCCTCCGGGGTGTGGATCTCATGTGCTCTGCTTGTCCTTAGGGCTCCCACATTGTCTTCCTTGACAGGAATCCCCTTCCCTGGGCTTGCGCCCTTCCTCCCCTGCCCATCTTGCTCTCTAGATTTATCCTTTGTAGCCAGGGCCCTTCCCTGTGGGTTCAGGCAGTTTGCAAGAGTGTTTCTGTGGCTTTCCATTGTTCTGACGACCAAGACCAAATCTTTAACAAGGTCAAGTCCTGCTACATTAGGGGGGAAAACGTGTGAGCCAATGTGTGTAAAACAACCGTAATAACAATACCGGGAAATGCATGTCAGATCATCTTCTTAGTTCTCCAGTGCTCAGGCTCGGAGCTTTTGCCTGCTGGGCTTTCTGCCTAGAACACTGCCACCACCCGCCCTGTTAACACCTTCCCTCCCTGGATCTCGGCTCAAAGGTCCCTTCCTCAGGGCACCTTCTGTGGCCCCCAGACCAGATCGGCACCACGTTCACCCCAACACTTTCGTTGCATCTTTTCCTTCATACGTGCACCACAGCATGTAATTTACATCTGTTCACTAATTTATGGGGGTTTCTAGATGAATATCTAGGCCCTCTGGGCCTTACATTCCACAAATGCAAAGTCTGTGTCTTCCTGAGCTTAGCACAGGAATTAAGAGCTCTGTGCTCGGCTTCTGGGCAGTCCACGTTCTAGATTCTTTTTCAGAGTGTTTTTGTTTTGTTCTTATTTACGGGAAGGGCTCAGAGGTGCTGAATCAGTGCTTGGCTGGGCCTCTGTTCCTTGTGTTTCTTAATCATCGACCAACACGGGTTCTTTTTCTTTTTGGCCGCGCGGCACAGCCTACGGGATCTAGTTCCCTAACCAGGGATCAAACCCACGCCCCCTGCAGTGGAAGCGCGGAGTCTTAACCACTGGACCACCAGGGAAGTCCCAGCGAGGGTTCTTTTAAAGGGCACTAGGTCGTGGTGACTTAACCCTTCTTTTTTTTTTTTTCGCGGTACGTGGGCCTCTCACTGTTGTGGCCTCTTCCGTTGCGGAGCACAGGCTCCGGACGCGCAGGCTCAGCGGCCATGGCTCACGGGCCCAGCCGCTCCGCAGTATGTGGGATCTTCCCGGACCGGGGCACGAACCCGTGTCCCCTGCATCGGCAGGCGGACTCTCAACCACTGCGCCACCAGGGAAGCCCTTAACCCTTCTTAATACTCAGAAGCCAGTGACCGTTTCCGTGGTGACATGGGCCCCTGGTGCCATCTCCTAGAAAATACACAATAGGTGGGTTCTGTGTGACACGGTGAGTGGCCTGGGTCACCAGGAAGCTGTTTTCTACTGCAGCGCTGGTACAGGTACAGGCAAGAAGGTCCGTCCAGCAAGGAATTTAATGATGCCCTGTGACCCAGCCCACCCTCTCCGTATAGCTCAAGCAGAAAGTGGGAAAGAATTCCTCTGATCATCAGTATTACCTGGTCCTTTTTGCAGGTCGTGACCCAGTAATAGATTACGAGACCAAATGTGTGGGTCAGCAGCAGCATATAAAAGAAGGAGAAAAGATCGCATAGAAAAAATCAGATTGCAATACACATGGTGAAAGAAACTTTTCTTTCAGGCGTGTGTGTGTGTGTGTGTGTGTGTGTGTGTGTGTGTGTACACACACGCGCGCTGAGTCATACAGTAAAATGTGTTTCTTTCTTGGTGGTCAAAATATCCGATTACCACACTCTATGGCATGTTCTGCTTGGACTTTCCAGTGTCACTGCCACCTCTCCTCTGCTTTCTCTTACAGGTATGCAAAATCCAGTCAGATCAAGACTGCGTCAAGCAGCAAGATATTTTTTAAAGGAAGCAGATTTCGATATAGGTGGGTACCCATGCTTCCATTTTGATGATGGGGCTGGGTTGGGGCAGCCATTTGCGTTGGAATATGGTACTTATAAATCAGTGCACTTTGGCCTGTACCCGTTTGGGTCCTCCCTTTCCACTCCACTCGTTTCTTATGCCCACAGGACCCCTTAAACTCTATAGTAATGTTCCCTCGTGGAGGAGGAGAAGGCACGGATTCCTAGAGCTGGGTCAGACCACTGTGAAGTAAAAAAAACAAAAAAAAGTGTGCGCACCCCTCCCCTTCCACTCTGAGTGTCTGTGCACAGACACTGTGTTTCTGTCTTTTGCAGTGGCAAAGTTGCCAAAGAGGTGGTGGAGGCAAGCTCCAAAATCCAGAGGGAGCCTCCAGAGGTGCACAGGTGAGTGGGGTGGTCCCCAGGGTGCTGGGAGATTTCTGGGGTGGACAGAAGGATTTAAAGGCTGGCTTTGCCATATCCACTCTAACAAGAGGGAGAGTAAGGACACCAGCTGCCTGGCCCTATGCCGTTTTCAGGCCCTGATTCCTGGCATGGCACGTCTCACCATCCCCCATATCTCACTCAGACAGATTTGGCTGGGCTCCATTCTGAGTTACTTGCTCTGTGTGGAGTCACTGCCCTGATTCAGCCTGGAGGGTCACGTGAACAAGCAGGAAGTGTGTGAGGCACGGGTGGCTGGGTTATCTCCTGACTGAGTCCATTGTCGTGTCCTCTTAGACCTGCTCTCTCTTCCGGCCTCTGTTCATCAGACGTGGCCAGTTCCCATTGGCCCAACTCCTTCTAGGCTATTTCACACGAGGGGGTGGGGTACTCATCTCTCATTGGACCCTTTAGTCCCAAAAGCCACTTAGAGGAATGACGAACTTAGTCATTAGTGGGTCAAGGGTACGCTTCTACATTAACATGGCAATATATGTAATTCTTAGGAATTAAATATTCTCTTGATCATGTTGTACTTCTTACCACCACAGTTTACACAAATCATTGTACATCTTAAACTTCAAACATGCTAAATATCTAAAGCAGAACATTCTTATCCTGATGTTCCCCCTTCTGAAGGCAGGATCATCATAAGATATATTCTTTAGGAAGTTCCCACACAGTGGTGGGCACCGGTCCCTCCTTCCCCACCTTTGAACCTGGAGTCTTCCTATGCTCAGATATGCCCAGTCTCCTCTATCTCCAAGGTGACCCAGTGAACAGGGTACCTCTCACCTTGTCCTTGGGGCTATCAGGCAGGAGGAGGCCTTGGTCTCTCAGAAGTGCAGCTAAGCCAGCCAGTGTGGGCATCCAGACAGTGGAGCAACCCAGCGTGGGCTCCCACACAGGGGAGCAGGACTTCAGTCAGCATGGAATCTTGTGCGGATGTGTACAGAGAATAATTCATCCCTGGCTTTGGGTGACCCAGTGGAAAGCTGTCACATACAAGTCTGCAAAGCAGTGTCTCCTGCTTCTCAAAGCAGGAGAAAACTGTGGGCAAGGGAATTTGGAGCGCCTTGGCTGGGACACCTTGGTGCAATACCTGTGAAAGTCTTAGAGCTTACTACCTGTTGATGACAATAGTCATTTTTTAATAGTCTTTTTATAACCCCTCCTCTGCCTCAAATTGTGGTTACTCAGTGCAGCAGAAACAAGAAAGAAGAAATAATTGAACATATCATTTAAATGTTTCCAGAATCTTTGGTCTAGAATGACCTCAGGGATGACTCAGTTTAATGATTCTATTTTACAGATAAGGGAACTTGAGTCTCAGAGAAGTTAAATGATTTATCTGAGGTCATAAATATTTTGGTGGCAGAACTAAGCCTAGAACTCCAGCGTCCTGCTCCTGAGTCCTATATCCACTTTTCTGTGTTGCATCTGCCACCCTGAAAACCTCTGCATTCTCTAGAAGCTGGGGGGGGCAGACCTACCCCAGGGGCTCAGCTTGGTTTTATTCTTCCAGCTTGAAGCTTGCGTGTTTGATCTTAAAATAAAAAGAAATACTCGATTCTTGGGAGTCCCCTTGATGGCACAAACACAAAGTAGGAAAATGTTTTTAACAATATACTTTCAGGGGGCTTCCCTGGTGGCGCAGTGGTTGAGAGTCCGCCTGCCGATGCAGGGGACACGGGTTCGTGTCCCGGTCCGGGAAGATCCCACATGCCGCGGAGCGGCTGGGCCCATGAGCCATGGCTGCTGAGCCTGCGTGTCTGGAGCCTGTGCTCTGCAATGGGAGAGGCCATGACAGTGAGAGGCCCGTGTACCGCAAAAAAAAAAAAAACACCAATATACTTTCAGAGAGACATATTCCAAATATGTTAATGAGATCAGAGAAGAATTTTTAAAAATACTTCTCTTTTAAATTTATGTTTGCACAATTTATGGGAATTAAGGCTTCCTAGGTCAAGGCTTCTCAAACTGTAGCTTGAACAGGGATCACCTGGGGATCCTGTTAAAATCAGATCCTGATTCATGAATCTGGCATTTCTAATGCTCTCCCAGATGATGGCCATGTGGCTAGTTCATGGTTTGCACCTTGAATAGCCAGGCTCTATATAACTGCTGGGGGAGGGGTTGAAGGGAGCAGATTGGCCCTAGTGAAAAGCTTTTCCTGGAGTGGACTGAACCACCAGAGCGGATGGGAAATGAAGCATCCATCAATTTATAGTTTTTCTTTTCTGGAATTTTCTAAAATCTCCCAGGGTATTACTGCAAACAAGGCTCTATAGGCCCGTTCGACACCGGTTCACATGTTCTTTCTTGCTCTTCCTCTACCCGCTTTTACCTGTTTGTGAAAGCCTATTGAGTTCACATCCTCTGGATGCCTCTCTGGTCCTCAGTTCTTTGGCAGTATCTCTCAAATCTCTGACATTACAAGGAAGAATTTGTTTAAAGTAATAATACAGAGTAAGCTCTGGGAGGACAAAGCTTGTGCCTATCTTGGTTATCTCCATCTTACCCATCAATTAACACAGCGCTTGGCTATAGTAGGAGGTCAGTAGATATTTGCTGAATGAATGTATGCACCAGGAGTGTGAGATGACAGCTTCACATCTGTAATTTTCTGAGACTTGAGATCTGTCCGTGGTGCTGCCCTGGGGACCTCGCCCTCCCAAGAGGCAGCACTGTGGTCAGAGCCACAGTGATGTGTGCCACTTACAGTAGCAACTTCTTGTTCCTTCCCAGTAGCTGGTTGCATGGTAGGAAATGTTTCTCTTACACAGTTATTGTATTTTCGAATTGTTTTGACTTCTTTGATGTGGCTGTCAAAAGTGAGAGTATAGCAATGAGCTCTCTTTATCTGGCAGTGCTCAGAGAGGCCTGCTAGTCTAGAATGGTGATGGTAAGACTTCAGTTATCTCTCCTCTAACTTGAGATTCTCCTCGTCAAAGAATAGCCAGTTCATAGACTCCTACTCCTGCTGAGATGTGTGTGACACAGAGAAACACACACAGACTAAGAACACTGTCTTGGGGTTTTTCTTTTTTTCAAAAAGAGAAGAAGCTCACTCTCGTGTTAGCTCATTGAACTTTGCTGATGACAGGATCCCCAAGTGGAACCCTATCGGCTGGCTACTTGGTGAGAATCACCTGCCCATTCCAAGGCCCAGTGAGGCGGAGGGCTGTAGCTCTGAGAGTTCAGGGTCGGCTCTTTAAGCCTCCTGGGCATAGAGCCACCACCAAGGGATACCCAGAAACAGCACTTGTACCTGAAATGAGCACCCATCTAGGAGTCACGAATGGGTCTAATCTTGGCTGTGTTGCTATGTCTTGCGTAAGTCACTTAACTTCTCAGATCATTAGTTTGTTCATCTATAAAATGAGATTCTTACATCTTTCCCCAACTTCTAGGTTTTGTTATGGCCATTAAAATACAGGGTATTAAAATTATAAAGTACCATAAAAATGTGAAGTGGTGATATTATTATCTCTCATCCAAAAATGGGAAGCTAGAACCTGACACACATGTTCACATTGAAGTCTCTTCAGATGGAGTTTTTACTCACAGGCCAGCAGCACTTCCTTTCATTCCAAGGAGTGGTTGCAGTAACTCCACTAGCCTCGCATTTGTTGCTCGATTTTATGCCACCATTTCTTGAAGCCAGTCTTAGAATATACCTGCAGTTGCTGAAGGAAACCTTTCTGCTCAGTAGAATCCTTAATGGCAGTTTCACTCAGAAACTGTTCTAGGCCAGGAGTGCACGTGAGTGGGCTGCAAAGCGGGTCAGGCATTTTGGCCGAGTCGGCTGGTGCCTGGACTCCGAGAGCGGGGGAACACAGCACGGACCCTCACCTGACAGGGAGCAAAAGAGCCTCCATAAAGGCTCGCTAAGGGTCCCTCCCTGCTGTGATATACATAGTAATTTCTGGGGGAGGGGAACAATGGAAAATGAGCTTTTCAGAGGTCAGAAAACTACATAGTCCACACAGACATGGCAACATGTGCTTTGCAGAACTAGGATCACAGTCATGAAGGCCACAGGGCTAATGGAAATCCCATGAAAAGCTCAGACAAATAAGAACCCTTCACAATAAAAGAAGTCATTGCTCATGGTGAATTTTAATCCCCCCTTGTTATTCCTTCCTTCCTTTCTTCCCCCCTGCAAGGAATCCCCACCTCCACTTCTTTCCCTGTAAACCCACCACCCCTGCCAGGACTTACCGCTGACATCACCTTCCCTGGGAGGTCTTTCCTGGCCCTCCCCTCACTCATAGCAGGATCACATGCCCCTCTCTGGTGCTCCCCTGGGACCTCGGCCGTCAGTCAGTCTCTTCCATGAGATGTGTGCTTTTCCAGCTGTGGCTGTAGCACATTAATGAGTCATGAAGTGAAAATAGTGGTCAAGACCAGCACTTTAAATGAAATTAAATAGAATGGAAGGTAAAACATAGTGGCTCACACATAGCAAGACTTACTATTGTTGCATGAAGCATTCTCTTTAGCTGTGTGTGCACTTGCGTGTGTGTGTGTGTGTGTGTGTGTGTACAGAGATATGATATCAAATGTAGTTTTTAATGTGAGTCTTGGTCAAAAAAGTTTGAAAGTCATGGTTCTAGAGAGTAAGTTCTTTAAGGTGAGGGCCATGATTTCCCAGAACAATACATACATACCAGCTGCAAAATAAATGGTTGTAGAATGAAATAATGAAGAAAAGAACTCCATGGTTAAGCAAGTCCTTATAAATTTCCTTTCCAGTCAGTGGCAGCTGGGGGTGGGGGGCAGTGCTTTTAACTCTAGATGCTAACAGCTTCTCCCCTGTCCAGCTCCTATGCCCAACAGAAATGCCTGGGCTGTAAGGCGGTCCCATCAACTGGCCTGGAGAACACCTGTGACAGTCTGAAATGGCAACTTAATGCCAAGTTTACTTCAGTTTCAAACTGAACACCCCTTAACAAGATGCCAAGGGAGGTGCTGTAAGGCACGTGAGAATGGATAGGTCAGTCTCTGCCCTTAAGTTGCTTTATCAAGGTGGGGCTGATTAGTACCCCAGTAATTACAGGGCAACAGAGGTGACACATGTGACAGGTTGTGAAAGAAGGGACAGTAGTGTGAGAAGGAAGGGGGAGAGGGAGTTCGTTGTGAAGGCAATCCAGGAGGGCTTCAAGAAGAAGGCGACATTTGGCATCATCTTTGAAGGATGGGTTGGTTTGGGTTTTGACAGGAGACATGGGGATGGGAAGGGTGCTGAAACACCCACCAGAGGTACCCCACATCCCTGTCTGTCAGGGCAGACATTGTAAATGGGCTTCCTGGCTATCAGCCAGTAGCCTTGATGAGACACCTTTCCTTGCCATCTACTGCCCATTGAGCTACTGACATACGTGTGCTCCTTTCAAAAGGAGAAAGTGGAGCTGGGTTCTGTGTTTGGTTCGTGAGTGGGGTGTGAATTTGAATGGGAATATTAAGCATCGATATTAAATGTTGGACATCCAGCTCATGGCTATGGAAAGCCTGTGACATCTGCCTGGCAGAGTTTTTTTGTTTTTGTGTTTGTTTGGTGGTTGTTAAATTACTTTGAGCCATGCCCTTCATTCACTTTTCTGCATATGTAGTTCAGTGATACCTGCCTCTTGTGTATCTTTGTCACCCATGTCTTTTCTCAATGCCTTGTCTTGTCACATAGCATGTCCAAGTCTGATGACATGTGGAGAAATACGTTTTCTTTCACTGTGTTGCATTAGAACACATGGACATTATACCACGTATCAAGACCTTAAGGATAACAAGGGCTGTGTGTCTTAAGTGCTATGTCATCTTTACCACTGGCCTAATGCACTGTGTGAGTCTAGGGGCAGTTCCCAGCTCGGGTAGCCAACGGAGATGGAAGGGCCGGTGTTCCCAGTTGAAACCAGTTCCCTCCGGCTTGTGTCTGTTTTCAGAACCAGCATTACTCAGAGCCGCAGTTCCCACTCCTTGAACAAACAACTCATCATTAACATGGAGCCCCTGCAGCCCCTGCGGCCGTCCCCCAGTGAGCAGGAAGAGGAACTTCCACTGGGTGAGGGTAAGTACACTTCCTTCCAGAGCCTGGCATTGCAGGCTTACCCTGGGGGAATGAGGGAGGCACCAACCCTGGGTACCTTGGGTAATAGGTTGGGGTAGGGGTCAGAGTAAGTCATAAACTGTGTTTTTAGTAAATAAACTCTTCAGAGCTGGAAGACTGCATTATATTGAGAGTTCTATCAGTTTCTCCTGGAGAGAGTTCACTGGTACAAAGCATTCCTAAAATTATAAGTTAAAGCAGTAGTGGTGTTAGCCCCATACTATCCAATATGGTAGCCATTAGCCATGTGTAGCTATTTAAAATTAATTTTAAGTTAATAAAAATTCAGCTCCTCAGCCACATTAGCTAGATTTCCAATGCTCAACAGCCACATGTGGCTAATGGCTACCATCTTGGACAGCTCAGACCAAGAACATTCCCATCATTACAGAAAATTCTATTAGATGGTGATGTTTTTGACTATAATCACAATTAAATTAGTGGTTGTAACGAATTCTCCACAAATATCTCTACACTGGTCATCCCCTTTCTGCCTTACTATTTCTGTATCCCTTAATAAGAATTCCCTTTTCCACAGGGCCTTGTCTGACAGTTTTGATACAAGCTAAAATATATATGGTCCATTTTAGCCCCAAAGTTGTTATATTTGTAAAGGCTATATAATATGTGTGCTTCTAGGCTTCTTTTTTTGCTTTTAAGGGCTTTCCTTCAGGGAAGAATCTTACCACACCGCTTACCGCGTATACCTGGTGAGGCAAATATCACTCTCATTAATTTCAAAGTAAATTTTTAAAAATTCACATAAAATACAATTATTGGAACCTTGAACCCAAACATAACATGCTTTCCTTAAATTTCTGTGATTCTAGTTTCATCATTTAAAATCTGGATACTGGGCAGTTTCAAGAAGGCGGGTCACTGTGTCCCCGAGAGATCACCTTTACCTGCAGCTTTAAGTCAAGAATCCCGTCCATAGGGGAAAACTCTCCAGCCCATAATAAGAATATGGCTTGGGATGCACATATCCTTGGGAGAGGTCGTAGCAGCTGATTCACACTGAAGCATAAGGGGTTTTAGTAAATCTTTCCCTGAAAGGAAACTTGAATGGTTGGAAGGAGGACTGGGCAATGGGATGCCATAAATTTCATGGGTGGAAGGAAAATGTGCAAGATACGAAGGATGGGGTCTCAGGAGACACCTTTATCCCCAGCTCAGCCACAGGGTGATGATAACCAGAACGATCTTGTGATAATCGCCTTTATGCCCTGTCTCAACAACCAACTCCGTAAGCTCCATGCTAAATTAAACTTCTTAGCCCAGGGGTCCCTGGGTCCATGTTGCTTGTCTACATTTTTCAGCACCTTCTCTGTTTTTGTATGTTCCTCAAAGTGCAATGAAAGCAGCTTTTGTTTCTGATCACTAGTGATTTTCTGGGCTTCCTCCCATATGTCTGGAAGTTGGTTTGAGTGGAAATCATTTTTTCTGGAGGTCAGGATTAACCCAAGTTTGAATGAAGGAGGATATGGCTAATGGAGAAGAGGAGGGGAAAATAGATAACCCAAGCTTAGGATTGTGACTTTGCCTTGTCTGCAGAGATGGAAGCCTAGATGGGAATAAAACTCGGAAGACCAGTTACCATGGGGAATATGGAAGCCAGGCCACTGATGCCTTGTGAGCACCCTAGATGTGAAGGGGAGCCTGGGCAAGCTTTCCCTGGACCCTTCATTCCATTCAATTAATAGAAACTTCTGTTTTGCTCCATTTTCTATAATGAGGTTCCATTTCTAAATACTAACCTTGTCATTAACATGACAGCTGTGTGGACAAGAGACTTATGCATTGTAATTAACTGCAATAAAATTTCCATAATATATGATAGGAATCCATGAGCTACATTTTCAATTTTTCCAGTTATTTAAAATATGAATCTTTAATTCTTTCACCAGCTGTAAAGTCAAACTGTTAGGTTTCTCTGTTTAAATGTCCAAAATAGCTCTATAACTATCTAATAAAATTCTCTTTTCTAGGAGAACTGTCCCCTTATGGAACATCTTTGTGGGTTTTGAAACTCAGGCAAATCATAGCAACTTGCAGGGTATAGAATCAATTTAAAAGGAAGAGAAGTAGAAACGACAGTATTGTTAAATGCCCAGTATATAGAAAGAACTTCCCAGTCTAGAAAAGAGAGCAAAATCTTCTTAGGGACCATGAAATTCAAAGTTATGATTCCCACAGTCAACATAGCTACGTTCTTGATACCCTTATATCTCAGTTACTATTTTAGAGTCAAATTCTGCTTCATGTGTCTTATCTTTGAGTATCAGGTAATGGGATTTAAACATTCTATAGGGATAAATAGATTATTTAATAGGTCTGTATGTCTCTGATATATGAAGAGAAGAGAGGCAGAGAATACAGCTTTGAACAAAGATGTCTCCACTTTTGTGGATGGGCAGATGCAGTGCGATGAATTTAGTTTCACCCTTGTATTTTGATATTGCAATTTTTTGTGTCTGATCAAGAACCAAATTGAAGAAATTAGAATTTCACTCCTTCCTTAATACAACAGCTCTGGCAAAGATGTGGTATACAACTAAGTAGACCATACTTAGCTGTGGAAGTTGCTGTGGCCTTATGAAGATGAAGATACTCTCTTTTCCCTGGAGACTCACAGCCTGTTGGGGAGACAGCAGTGGGATCACAGAGGTGAAGAGTAGGTTCTACCTCTGCTGACTGGGTTGCATGCTCACTTTTCTGTGTGCCTCACGAGATACTGGTGCCTCAAGCTGCCTGGAGAGCCTCTTGTTCCCTTTCAGTCTTATCAGAGTATATGGCATAAAGTTGGGGGCACAGGAATGAATGGATGAGACTGACAGGCAGAGGGAGTCGTGGGTGGTCTGGTCAACTTGCATTGGATGCTTGTGTGGCTTCCAGGGAAGAGGGGTCGGGGAAGAATGAAAGGTGAGGCAGAAAGTTAGGGAAGGACCAGATTGTGATGGGCCTCACCCAAATTGCTGGAGAGTTTAGACTTTAACCCAAGGGCAGTTGGAAGGCACTGGAGGATTTCAAGCATGGACCTGATTGGAATTGTGTTTTGTATCTCTTGTGTGTGGGCAGAGGACAGGTTAGAGATGGGTATGGCTAGAGCAGTTTTTCAATCTCAGCACTGTTGACCGTTGAGCTGGATAATTCTTTGTCGGGGGCTGGCTTGTGCTTTGTAGGATGTTTAGCAGCATCCCTGGCTTCTATCGAGTAGTACCCAACCAGTCTGGACAACCAAAAATGTCTCCAGGTATTGCCAGATGCCCTTGGGAACAAAACAACTGCCTGAGAATTACTGTGTTGGAAGCACAGAGACCCCACAAGAGCCACTGCAATAGCCCAGAGACTAGATTAAACGAGGGTTGAGCTGAGGCAGAAGGTGGGATGGGGAGAAGGCAGTGGGCTCTAGCTAGTAAGCAGCAGAGTTGTTGACACATGTAAGGTGCCTGTGGATTCCTGTCCAGGTGCTGCCCTTGTCTCCAAGAACTTGAGAGGGAAAAGACCTTAACCTCTTTGGAAATGAGACTGTTCTGAGACACAGGAAGGTTCCAGTGACATGTCAACATCAGAGAGGCGATGGCAAAAATGATTTCATTTAGATATTGGAAACTTTGGAAGAGTTAGATACTTCACTGAGCTTCAGACACAGAGTGGAGGAGACTTAGACATCTCTGCTTACCTTTGACGTCGTTATTCCTCATCTCTATACAGTGGCTCCGATTCTTGTTTGGGGGATTCAAATCACACATTTTGAAATTGGATCCATAAACAGGTGAAGGTTGGCAGTCTGAGCCCTGTTAAAAGAGTTGTCTGATTAGGAATTTTTAAAAAATCAGATTGGGAGAAGAAAGAAGGACCTTAACCCTGACCCTTGGAGGCACCATCTCCTGGAGGTCATGGGAAGGTCCTGGTGCCTTGTCTCGCGTGGGTGCCATGGTGGTGACATCTCTGCTGCCGTCATGACTCTCGGTGGTCCCGACCACCCATTTGTCTGACAATCTCTTTCTATTCTTCCTGGAACTTCAAGATTCTCAAAGACAGCTGGAGAGAGCATGATTGCCCAGATGAGCTCAGGGGCGTTCTGGGAGAGAACGCGTAACCCCGTTCACCCAAACGACAGCTGGAGGATTATCTCTGAGGTTGGCTGTGTCTGTAGAGAAAAAACAAAATCAGTTCCTAGGCACCACTAAGCAGTGAGAAAGTTTTCAACGTTACCCCAAAGTTGCTCAGCTACAGGATCCGAGTAGGTTAGTGCTGTGGAAAGCTTTAGATGTGAATAGCAAACCATTTGAAAAGTGCCACTTCAAGTTTATGAAAATTTCCGGAGAAGAAAATATTGAGAGTGGAAATTGTTCCGGGTGACAATGACATTTTCAGGAGTGATTAATCTGAATATATTCACATGCAAAATGGAGTAGGGTTCACAGTGTATACAGCAAAATGCTTGCATGTTTTATTAGTAGAGTGTATTTTTCGTTAAGGAAAATAGATTATGGTAGAGAAGGGGAATGGAATGTATCACGTGAGACTTGGTAGCCGGCAATTACCAACGCCCGGTGAAGGTCACTCTCGTCCACCAGAGTGATGGTACGAGCTGGCATGATTAAACAGGCAGGAAACCATGCTTTCTTCTCCTTGGTAGACACAACTAAATAAGAGTTGAAAACGTTTGACACCCTCCTGCTGGCAAAACAAGAGCACAATGGAGACACCAAAATTTCCATAAAGGAATGTCTTGGGGATGGCAGTGTGATTGGTTTGAGGGTGGCTTAAAGCTGCATTTGTATGCGATTGAGAAAATGTCTATATCAATGAATAGATGGGAATTAAGTAGGGCAGTAAAACTAACTCTCCCGAGCCACACTTTCGCACTGTCCCTGTAAGTGTGTATGTGTGCGTGCGTGCATGTGTATGCGACTGCATGTGTGTGTCATGGATGTGGCTCTGTGTGGGGTGGG